AATTGATGCGTATTAGGAGGCTAATGTTGCGCTTGCTCTTGCACGTACCCGAGGAACTGATGACATTCTTGGAGAATGCTGGTCTGACCCACATTAATCACGAATAACATTGAAGCGTTGCTTATCTCGAGGTCAATCCCACAATATCCAATAATATGATGCAGGACCGTATGCAAACGCGGAGAGCAAAGGATATCAGTTGCGCGGTTCTTACGAACCAACTGGTGCTCATTGCTCAGATCTTCATTGGTGAGGGGTTGCGAAAAAAATGTTTCGGGGGTTAGAACACGTTTTTGTGCAGGCTGAGCATAGAATTAACCATCAAAATATGTTGGATAACATTTGGTTTATATTACGCGGTGTTTTGCATAGTTGAAAACATCCTAAAGATGAAGGTTTTTAAGCACACCTGATTAATCCGATTGCCAGAGAAGATGGAGGAATGGGTAAAAGGACTGAGTAGTTTGTGATAATGTATGTCGTGGTATGCACACTCTATTAGTCGATAAGAAAAGTTAACATACCACCGGACGACCACTATGTTTCTCATGATCTAAAAGGATTCAGAACACGATGGTGACCACTACTCTGTCTGTGTACCACAATATCACATCCTGAGCACAACCACACGGGTCGATCTGGAACAATCTACCGAACAGGGAGATGTGAAAAAATAGATGAGCGTTTGGGACCAAAGTAGACACTGAAACACTTTAACATTAACAAGAATTTTGAATGTCCTAATAATTTTTGATAGAACGTAAAAGGAATGCAGTCGATGGTTGGAAAACAAAACAAACCCGTAAAGTAGAGCAAAAACCATACAACCAGCTGATAGTGTAACCTGGTGGTGTTGGAGTAGAATAAAAATACAAAACTGGGAGTGTATGTTGTAGTGAAAAGAAAGAATTTCATGAGTAAACAAGGTAGAGCGCGTTGTGCTGTCAACAAGTAAAGTTTCTCGGTACACAACCGCAATGCGTCTCTGTTTACTCGCTTTGAGTAATTATGCGTGTGCACCAGAGATGAGTGCTGATCAAAACATAACCGACGTGCCAGACAATCGACATGAACCGAATAGTCATCAACAGTTATTTAAAGCTGGAGTAGTTGGGAATAAGCGTTGACGAGATCCAATCACCAGAATGGAATCTACTTACATGGTCGTTTGACCTGGCGAAGCATTGTAGGTACAGGCGGTTTAGGGGGCGGCGTTGAGATCTGAACATCCAAACCCGCCGCTGCCGGTGGTTCATCGGAATCCCAATCATCCAAGTCATCAGACAGTTCTCCATTTGCTGGTCCCGAGGAATATCGAGCCAAGCTGGAAGTTTTAAAATTCGCGAGTAGAGTGGCCGCATCGGATCGTCGCTGATTCCCAATGGATTCGTTCAGACCATCAGATGAAATGCTACCAGAAAGATTTCTGGATTCACGAACGTGATTCGGTTCGGAAATACCATCTCCAAAATCCTGAGCAAGATTCGGATGTGAAGGAGATAACGGGTGATTTGACTGAGTGACAGTTAACACAGCCCGACTCCAGTCTGGACCAGATCCGTCTGGCAGAGAAGGAGCTACGACCAACTGAAGCAGAGGGATGAAGCAGAATATGAAGCAGATAAGTTGATACGAAGAAAGAACGATCTGTACAATAAAAACGCAAACTCTCTTTAAGTCAAAAAAGGACAGAATAGCAGCAGATAGAACTAAAAGGTCGACAAGTGATTTCGTAACTTCCAAATTTGTAAAATGGGGTATTCGAGGATTCAACCTTATCAAATATGGAATATTTCTTATGTAGAGCAGACGCGAACTGCAAAATTAAAAGTACTTTACAGCTGATGCAACCGAATTGGTTATTAGCTCTAGTAGGAATTCATCGAACCGATAAAGGGGTAAATCGAGAACCATATGAGTACTTTTAATATGGATATAAATATATAGTTATATAATTTCAAGAGAGAATGGAGGCGTACATTGAATTTTAAAATGTTTATTGCAACGTTTCAATCCCTAGGGCTTGCTGTCTAATGTAAATGAAATGAATGAGCTAATGGGATTACCGTCTTTCGGTGCGCTGTGTTGTTTGTGCTTCCACCAATCGTCACGGGTTTTACGAGTGCGTAGTTGTTTGATTGTCTCACCTATGTATTGTTGATTGCAGCCCAGGCACGGGATTGCGTGGATTACACCTGATCGTTCGTGCTGTTCGGCTCGGTCCTTGCCGTTGTGGAACAACGATCTCACAGTTGCTACCGGTTTATGGGCTACCTTGATTCCCAACGGTCGGAATATACGTTCGGTGGCTTCTAACATGCTGCGTATGTAGGGTAACATTATCCCAATTCCCTCTTTTGTGTGTACTAAGTTTTTACCCCCGATGCCCACCTTGATAAAGCTACTGGGATATGCGTTAGGTAGGAACAATTGTACTGCAATATGTTTGCTCGTCGAAGCAGATTTTGTGCACAACTTTCGGGTAACGCAAGGGATGGTTACTGTTGTAATTGAGGATGTGGTTAGTTTGTGATACGCTACGATTGCTATTCTTCCGTCAGGTTGTCTCAGAACAATATCAAGGAAGAAGAGTTATTCATCTTTCTCGTCCTCTCGTGTGAAGTTGATCTGAGGCATCCTGCTCGTTGATGATTTAGTGGAACTGATCTACCGTGGAAGCTCTGAGTATAACAAAGATCTCCTCCACGTACCGTATCCACAGACGAGGTTGTAGAAATTCAAAAGCTATGGCTTCGAAGAGCTTCGTAAGGGCTTTCGCGAGCAGACCTAAGAGTGGCGAACCCATAGGGGTTCCTCGCATCTG